GCTCTGTCCTCTATTAAAGCTAAAACGGCTAAGTATCCACGACTTCATGCGGCTACATGAGGGAGAGGGAAGTCACAACGTCACATAAGACTGTTGGTATTCCACTTATTTAAATCAGCGAGCAGCACAACTATCAAAGTGGGGGGTGGGGGCGGTGGAGACGGATAAAGGGAGCCTAAAAACCAACAAAAAATCAGAGTTATAAATCGGAGAAGTTTTTCATCCGACGAGCCAGCAGTTATATGAACGAATTCGTTTTTGTCTGTTCGTTCTTTTTTTTCTAGGCAAGGTCTTCCTACTAGTCCTAAAATGGAAGAAAAAGGGGGAGTGAAATTAAAAGGCATCCGGCAGAGATGAGTGTTAGCGCAACAGAGGCAAGAAATTAAAAAATGACGGTATTCACCTCCTCCTCAGCGGCTTTGGCGGCCGCAGCAGCTGCTAGCTGCTGCTCATAGTATACAGCGAATTCGTCGAGAACCTCATCAAGCACGGCTTCGCTGATGTCCGCGTAGAGGCTCTGTCTGGCATCGGCAGCAGTTGTGAGACGGCTGAAGGCGAGTTTGTTCATGCGATCAAACACCCAAAAGTTAATGACACAGCGTAACTGGGGGATAACCCTCTCCACACACACCTCTGTCATCATCTCCCGACCGGCTTCGCGGTAGGCGTGGTAGCGTTGCGTGACGGCCTAATTATTCAATGGAAAAGATGCAATTTTTATTGTTTGTTTTTGTCCTAAACATAATTAAAATTAGAAGAACATTAAGGAAAGTTACAGAGAGCGCGAAAGAACGCAGCTTGGCCACAAATGTTTGGGGAGCAGTAAAGTGTAAATAACACAATGCGGATCACTACGGCCACGGTCGACGTGACTTTCAAATCAATAGGTATTTCGGTTTAATTTGTACCAGGGTTTACTAAAGGCTTTATAAGAAGACTAGCTTTCGGGACCAAAGTGGGCCTTCTTTGGTACTCTCGCAACCATGAACCACGTTCTGAAAACATGAGGAGGCAAGTCTATTTAGCCGTTTGCCCCAACATTTTATGATGTTTCCATGGCTGACAGGCGACGCATCAGGTTTCACCGTAAGAACTGGGAACTCTAAAAACGCTGAGTGATAACTCAATCCGGTCAGAGTATCTAGGACAGCCAAAACTCTGGCGTAAATATTAGCAAATCTCTTACGCTTTAGAAGTGTGCACATTCGACTTAATCCTGACAGAGGTTTTGCAGTCCAAGACGGGCAAAAGAGGGCGGTACGAAACTACTACGCGCGTCATTTCGGACGGGCTAACGAGAAAGTAGGGACAGAAATGAATCAGCAATGAAGAACGCACACTCTCCTGTTATTTTATTTACAAAACTGAATGCATCCATAGCCGAGTACGGCTGAATTTCGCCGCTGACATATAAATATGGTGCGCTTTGAGTTTATTTTTAGAACTCTTCTCGTCGTACAGCGGGCTAAATAGCCACATAGAAGGATGCCTCAACCAGCGAAGTTGTAGTCACTCAGTTCAACAGATCTGACAGATCTGCTCAAGTTTGAAAGTTGCGATAGTTCCCATCAGAGAATTCAGAAAAGTTGTTGGCGAGTAGAAGGCCAGTACATTTATATGGGAAAGGGGTACAAGTTAAAACGTGTTCGTCTTTTCTTACAAGTGAGTCGTGGGAAAAGGGGGGGAAGGTCGATAAGACTCGACCTTGAATGTCTGTGTTCGCTTTATGCGCAACCGATATTTAACGTTGCATGTAGCGTCAAGGTCAGTAAGATGCCGCCACAGCTGACATGTTCAAGGAAATAATTCCATTTAGGTAGGACGTATTGTAAAATCAGTTCAGCCTGTACTATTTTACGACTAGATTGGGAACCCAGCTGATGCATTAGCACAATATATGGTCTGCTAAGAGGTAACACGTGCTGCTTAACTTGTAGATCTCGACAGCATGATATTGCGTTTAACAGTAAGGCGTTTACAATGGAAGACTTGTAATTGAGCAAGTGCGTCCTCGACACCGGTGTAGAGTAAAGGCAGAACTTCTATTCGAGGTTTCGTAAGATTTATTCTGATTTCCTAGGGAAAATGTAATTCCAGTAGCGCTACCATAAAAAACTTGTGGAAGTTGGAAGGGTAAAATTCTCAGCACTATTGGCATACGCAATTCCTTTTGCTATTTAAGCATATCTACTTCCAGTGCAAGGATTCGGTAAAATATTTTTTTCATTGTTCAAAAGAGTAGCTGGTGAGAGTACGTAGGCTTTTGATAAATTATCATCAGGCCACTACGTTTATATTGGAACTGGGAACAAGTTAAAAGGTGTGCGTATTTTCGTAGAATGAGTCGTGAGAATAAGGAGGAGGGGTCGATAAGAGGCGGCTAGTTACGAGGGCAGGATATATTGGAGACAGTCTAGGGGAGGGAGACAAGTACAGCGCGGCAGAATGCATGCCACTAAGTGACTGTGGGCCAAGCAAGGCGCGGAGCTTGTAGGAGGTTCTTTCGTGCACACAACGCCGGCTTAATCAACCCGATAGCAGCCGCTTCTGCTGTCGCTAACAGGCGCTGACTTTGGATAATTTGGTGGGACCTTATAGCTCGCCCGAAAGGCTTCGTTGGGGTCCACACGATGTCTGGAATTAACCAGGTGCGTCAGAATAGAGCTGTTTATGCTCATGATTTCACCTTTTCTCAGCCATGCCGGGAGGTGTTCCCTTATTCCTTTGGATAAGCGCCGACTCGTGCGACCAATATAACCTGCTCCACATGAGCAAGTAAAGGAGTAGATGCACATGGAGGTGGTCCGAGCTGGTAACCTATCATTATCTTCCCCGCGTAAGACCAGGTTGGTTGAGAATAATACCCGAGCTCTGGCTGTTGGGAAGGTTCGGGACACGGCTTGGTCAAGGCGTCTTTTCAGGAGTTCCTTTGCCTCGTCCCCTCGAAAGGGGACTTTGCTCAGATATCAACCACTATGGGTAAATTGACCAGGTCGATTGCGGTAGGT